CAGAGCTGATGACCACTTACTGTGGAAAACGGTGTAGGGCATCGTCAACAAGTTCGTCTGGAACGTGTCGAAGCCCAAGCCCCTGAGCGAGAGGGTCAAGTACTGGGCGGGTGGGATCATGGGAATCTGGAACGTGAGACCCAGGATGTACAGCGGCCTAGGACACGGTCAGCTTGTCCCATTCTTTTTCGGTGCAGGTATTATCAATCCACGTACCAGAGGTCAAAGTCTTTGAGGCTTTGCCACAGGAGCTTGAACGTGATAGGTTCGCGATTGTGCATGTCGCTCTTGCTTGGGTCTTCTCGCAGGACACGGTTCACGATAATCTTTTCCTCGCTAAACGTACGAAAACCACTGTTAGCGTTGTCTGGGCCTGTTGGTTTGATGAAGGGATTTCTTACCGCTCTGAAAACCACCCATCCTTGCCACGGAACCAGCTTTTTGTTTGGCATGGCCCAGCTGGCATGAGGGCAAAGGACAAAATACCAATGACAAGTGTCAAGAGGCCCTGTCCACATCGTCAGCCCCAGCCCAAACATATGAGGTTACTTGGGCGTCAAGAATGTTTCCAGACGTCTTGAATTCATACCTCGATCAAGAACAGCCACTTCCAGCCAGAGTGGCCTTGGACACCCCTCATATGCAGAATACCGTATGCGAGAAGAGCCGAGGCAATGTCCGCAATACTCATGGCAGTCCAGAAGAAACCCAGCCGCACGGTCAGTTCGTGGTGCTTGTAGAAGTACGAGAGGTACAGAATGACCTGTGGTGCAATGTTAGCTGTTATCCCTTCATATCGAAAAGAAACAACAAGCGAGGTGCCTTACATCAGGGATAAAACCGCCTTGAAGCACGCCCAGCAGGCAGCGGCAGACAAGGAACGAGGTTCGCCCCGAGAGAAAGAACTGCGCGCTCGCGACGATGCTCCACAGAGTCATCTGTGTTGGGATCCAGCGGTCTGGTCCCATCCACTTAGACACCAGCTGGGATGGGAGTTCCGCACAGAGGAAGGAGAGCCTGAAGATGGTGGTGCCAAGATTGTAATCTGGAATCCTAGTTAGTTCTGTAACTGGAGTCGTGCCTCTCGGGTTTGAATTCCGAGCCAACTCACCATCTGTGGTCATGTGCAGGTCCGTCAGGAAGTTGTCCGTCAAAGCTTGCGAGATGTTTGCTCGATCGAGTTCGAGAGCCATGAACATGATGCAGGCCCACACCATAATCCGCCAGTCGATCTTGCGCACCAGGCTGTTTTCTTCGCGCCAGGTCCATCGTGCAAGGGGGTCAAATCGATGGACGTTTTCCCTAGGAAAGAGTCAGAGCTTCCGGTTCTGGCTTGTTCGAGACAAGACGTCTTACCACTCCTGGGGTGGCTCATATCGCTTTGCAGTGTCTGGGTCATCGAACACACTGGGCTGGATAAAAGTCAGCTCCTACATCTCGACCTCCCGACGATCCGGGCAACTCGTGGGAAGCTTGCCTGAGTCGCAATGGCATCCACGTCGTAAGCCTTGGATCTCTGGAAGAAAAACCGCTTCTGGTGGATAGGCTCTCCGAGAGGTGGTATGGTGTTCACCGATGTGGTTGATGAATCCGGGCCAACCTTGCTCTCCGGGTCTCTCTCGGGCCTGACGGCCTGGGCCTTGTCTCTAACGAGGACGGTAGCCATGTTAGGCCAGGTATTATCAAAACCAACGTCGGCAAGACTGAGGCAACTGTCGGGCCAGAAACTCGGCACAAGGGCGCAATCGAAATCGCTGCTTCTCTGTTTGACACGGCTGGCAAGACCAGGTGGAGGTCAAGCCCTTAAGTATAAACGGCACGTGACATCCATCGAGATGTCCTTATCAGCAGTGGCGTGAAGTCCCTGCGTTTTCCATGTACCAAGCATTGCGTACACGGTCCGCATAATCACGTCTTGACGGTACTTGGGCATGTCTGTACCGAGTTGGTGCGTATCACTCGGGGCGGATGCATGCAAGCAGGCCATGTCCATGGCAACCCTGCCAGATCCAGGGTCTCGATCTTTGCCGTCATGTCACCCATGTGTTGCAACCTTCACCCCGTGGGTGCCAGGTGGCTGGCTAGCTCACCTTTCCCACGGCTCAGGGACGGCATTGGGGGTGGCGGTAACAGGAGCGAATGAAAAAGCTCCGACGTGAAGCCGCGTGTTTCCCAGCTGAGGTATCCCAACTCAGCCGCATGTGCTCCCGGCGTGCCAGGTCGAAGGAGAATAATGAAAAACAAATAAAGCACATTTCTCGGGCCCCGGGTCCCGGGTCCCGGAGCGCACCCCGCGGGTTGCCTTGCTGGCCCGGGATTAGGGGGGGCCGGAGACCCGGAGGCAGAAAGGAGCTGTTACGGACTCCTCGGGGTACAGGCACAGGTGCCGCTACACTATCTCTGCCTCCAAGCGGCCCTTTGGCGGAGGGCGGATGAACCCGAACAATGGAATCGCCGGTTGGGAGAACCGAGGCAGCATGGCTAGTGTGTTGTGTCCGGCGCCAAGGACGGCATCAGGGGGAGCAGATGGCGTGATGAGACGTGCTCGCCCCCACGGCTGACGCGACTTCCCGTGACGCACAAGCGGATTCCGCAGCTGCAACAGTTCTAAGTCTGCCATTGGCCAATTGTTTACTTTGCTACAACTCCCAGGACGATGGCGGCATGGGTGCATGCCCAACCACCATACCCAACTTATACCAACTGTTCATCAACCTGCATTATCTCCGTGTATCGCCGCTGCTGGGACGACACGCGACGAAACCGAAACCGAACACTGGGAACCGACCGCCAATCAGACAGTTTCGGATGCTGTTTGCACGGCTGTCCATGAGGTCCAACGTGGGGGGTGGGCTTGCGCCATCGTCCGACCCGGCCCAGGTGAATGTCGTGTCGGCAGTCTAGACACCCAAGTGCGGTGCCGACTACCCTTCTGCCCCGCTCCCGTCTCACACTGAACTCCGCCACCGGCCCCCCAAGACGCCGTTCTTCCGATAACGATGCCCTCTGTTCCATCTAGACGGTGTTTAAGGTGTCTTATTCCCGAGAGGCCACCAACTCGATTCCTTTCAGAGGGGATGGCGGAATACACCATAGAGCGCTCGCCATCTCCAACATCAACGCCTATTCGATGACTGACTAGGAGCTCTCCGCACCTTTCACGGCCGCACGGCTTCCCGGTGCAACGTCGGAGAGGATAACGCGGGGGCGAGCAAGTTCGGCAATGGAGGAGGGGTTTGATGATGTGAATGAATCGCGTTAGATTGCTTGGAGAAACTCGCAATTCAGTCGCACCATGGTATAAGAGATACAATCTCCCCAATCTCAACGGAGAGATCAAGCCACTCCAGACAGCACCAGCTTCGAAACCATCAGACTCAAGACTTCGCCCACAACTCCCTGTTCCAAGACACGGTCACCCTTCCCAGCACCATGGCACCCTCAGCAATCGAAGTCGACGTCCCAGTCGCCACCAAGGGGCAGTCCCGTGAGCCCCTCAAGCTCTCGGGCGCGCTCGACTCGTACGAGTCATTCGACGTTACACCCGTCATTGGCCGCGAGTTTCCCACTGCCAACCTCGTTGAGTGGCTCGATGCCCCCAACTCGGATGAGCTGATCAGGGACCTTGCCATCACCAGTGAGTGTACACTGCGCAAATTCCGAAATTCTTTAGCTAACCAAGCACAGTCTCGCAACGCGGAGTGGTCTTCTTCCGTGCTCAAGACAACCTGACCAACGACCTCCAGAAGAAGCTGATTCTTCGGCTCGGAGAGCTGGCGGGGCGCCCTGCTACCTCGGGTCTCCACATCCACCCCCTCCTCAACTCGGAGCGCGAGTTTGGAGGTGATGATCCGGAGATCAGCACCATCAGCTCCGTCCAGAACAAGAAGTACTATTCCAAGTCGATTGCCGAGAGCCTCAGCGTCAAGAAGCAGAGCAGCGGCCAGTGGCACAGCGACATTGCCTTCGAGCCTATCCCTGCCGACTACACGTCTCTCCGCCTCATTGAACTCCCCACCACGGGAGGTGGTAAGTGACTTCTATTTTCAAATTTCATGTGAAATCAAAGGCTGACACGGTCATCTCCAGACACGCTCTGGGCTTCGGGCTACGAGATCTACGACCGCATCAGCGAGCCGTACCAGAAGTTCCTCGAGAGCCTCACTGTTACCTTTGAGCAGCCAGGCTTCGGAAAGGTGGCTGAGCAGGCCGGCTTCAAGCTCTACGACAAGCCCCGCGGCGCGCCCGAGAACGTCGGCTCCGAGCTCAAGGCGGTCCACCCCGTCGTGCGCACCAACCCCGTCACCGGCTGGAAGAGCGTCTTCCCCGTGGGCGGCCACGTCAAGCACATCAACGGTGTGACCCAGGAGGAGAGCACCCACCTGCTCAACTGGTTCCTGGATCTGGTCTACAAGAACCACGATCTGCAGGTCAGGCTCAAGTGGAAGAGCCCCAACGACATTGGTGAGACTTTCGACCCAGAGTCCAAAAACAATCAACAATGCTAACAAGAAGCCACAGCCATCTGGGACAACCGATCCGTGTTCCATACCGCGACTTACGACTACATTGACGGCAACTATGGTGAGCGCTTCGGCAACCGTGCGGTCGGCCTGGGCGAGCGGCCGTATCTCGACCCCAACAGCACTTCGCGGAGGGCTGCTTTGAGCAAGGAGCAGTGAAGCTAGGAACCCAAAATCAAAATAACCATATTTCCTTTCTGGCATCATGAGTCGTCGCTTGTCCATCTGTGTCTGGTACCTGAGTGGGTCGATCAATGCAGTGTTTGTTCCCATTGAGGCAATCAGAGCTCTTTTAAGTGCAACTCTGAGATTGAAATAATCACCATTTGTATCAATCGCAATATTTTATCAACCAAGTCTGCTCTCTGTTGAGTGTTGCGGGAATCTCAGAGTGGTTCAGTGAGTGGGCCAGCTTGTCGCACTGTCGGAGAACAGCGCTAATTCTTGAGATTCCTCTGGGGTCCAACACCACCAATCGGTCGAATGGCGCAATTGGTAGCGCGTTACTTTCCGGTAAGAGCACGAGCAATCGTGTTTCCCAGCTGGTAAAGGTTCTGGGTTCGAGTCCCAGTTTGATCGAATGTTTTTTCTCTTTTTCTTGTCCACTCTTGCCTTTGGGCCCCACCCCGTCCTTTTTCCCCACATCTTCTTGCACAACAGCGCGAGCAAGGCACGGGTATGCGGGAACTGGCTTACAACTCTGGTTTGTTGATCAGGGGGTGAGTGTCTAGAAGCTGCGGTGTTTTGTACACTAAGGAAAGAAGGGGGGCAGGTTTTTGTCAGAACCATTCACACATACCTAGGTACCCATCTATGGCAGCTCCGGACCAATGTGGTAGCACAATGACACTTCGGGCCCTAAAACTCACAGCGCTGAGAGTACTTAGTCAAGGAACGGAAAACACCTAGTGGTTATCTGCTAGCAAATACAATACATCAAATGGCGGCCGCAACGCCCGTATAGCAGCCGTCATCGCTAAATAGTACTTCCTTTGCCCCCGTGTCCACATTGACGCTGTACAGGCTTCCTCCCAAGTCAGTGACAAGAACCTGTTGGCGCCCAAGGTCCAGCTTCAAGCCAATTGTCTCATGAAAGTGCCGCGCAATGATCTCGGGCTTCCCCTTGTCGGCCCCGACAAATGCGCGATTCAGCGAGCAACCCAGCGGGTGCTCGCCACGGTCAGTCCAGTACAGCGTCTCCGTTTCGGCATCAATCTCGAGATCGATGGGCTCGGGCAGCTTCTCAAACACCACCTCGATGTCGGACCTGTTGGACGCCGTCTCGCCGGCAGGAATGTCGATGTCTGCCCTGAAGATACGTCCCTGAGACGATTTGCTGGCTCCTTTTTGCGTCCAGTAGATCTTGCCTGCCCTGGTATCAACAGCAATGCCAACACACCAGCTGGTGAGCGCCGCAAGCGGGCCCGCGTCGCTCGTTGGGGCAGATCTCTGTACAAGAACCTCGTGGTTCTTGCCGTCGAGCCCGATCCTGTGCACTCCCATGCCCTCGCGGTCACAAAAGTAGAGCTTTTGCTGGCCTTCGACGACAACCGCCTGCTTTGGCGTGTGTACGCCACCCTCGGGGATGAGAGTCTGCACATCGGTGCCGTCCAGGCGAGCCGACATGACCGATCCGTTGCGCGCGGCTAAGTTGCGGCCCATGTTGGTCCAGTACATGCGGCCCGTCGAAGGCGAGATGTCGATGCCGTCGGGGGCCGCGAGGCCAGACACGAGCGTCTCTACCTGGCCGGTGGCGCCGCTCCGGCGGAGAACCTTGCCGTTTGTGGCCACAGATTCTATCTGCTTCAGATTCCCGCCGAGACCAACGTCTAGACAGTAAATGTCGGGCTGTGCTGTGCTTTTCGGCGTCTCGCGTCTCGGGGTTGCCGGGGGGTAGAGACCGCCTTTGTCGCTCTTCAGGCCAAGGCGGCCCTGGGAAATGTAGTTTTGCCTGAGAAAGTCAACCGTCCTTGTGCCGTCGAGGCCACGCTCCTGGATGTAGTTGTCCTCGATGAAGGCGACGGTGTCGAGGCCAATCCGGTCCATGAGCTGGCATGGCATCACCCGCGCCTGAAACATGTGCTCCCAGAGCTTATCAATCTCGGCAGGGTCGCTGACACCCTCGGCCAAGATCAGTAGGATCTCGCGCTTGACAGCAGCCCAGAGGCGGTTGAAAATGAAGCTGTTTGCTCTACGTTAGCACTGGAATGCTCGTTTTGCCACACACAGGAAGGGAAGCGAGTTACCCAGTGGACTCCTTCCTCGCCGTTGCAGGTAGCATGCCACACTTGGCGAGGACGTCACTCAAAAAGGGGAAGACGGCGGGCTCTGTCTCGCCGTCTGTCATGAGTTCGACGGTGCGGATCTCCGGGGGCATGGTGAAATGCATGTTGCAAACCAAGCGCCGGCGCTCCTTGTTAGCGATCTTGTCGAGCATCAAACTCGACTTGAATGAAGAACTATTGGAGACCAAGATGCAGTCCGCCGGCGTCGTGCGGTCGAGTTCGGCGAAGGTGTCGATCTTGAGCTCGATCTTCTCCGGTACCGCCTCGACGACCAACCACGCCTCTCCAACCGCCGATGGAATGTCCTCGAACGCCGCATAGGAGCCGGGCTGGACAGCACCAGCGCTGCTCCCGACGTTTCTTGCATACAGGTGCTTGTTCTCGTCAATGTACTGGATGGCGGCCCCGCGGGCCTCAGCGGAGGGGTCACGGATGTGGACATTGTACCCGCCGGCCACGAACGAACAAGCAATACGGCGCCCGAGGACGCCGGCACCAAGCACGGCGACAGGACGGTGACCAATGGATGGGGGTCGCCAAGCCATGTCGAAGCGGAGAATTGAGTGGGATGACTGGAATATACAGATCTGAATGAATCGTTCGGTGACTTGGGGCAATTGCAGGGAAGAACTGGAAGCTCCCATCACTCATATACGGACACAAGTCATCGCTTCCGTCCACACCAACACTCCACGCATCCGGAACGGCCGTCAAAGATCAAGTAGGTCGGCGCGGCGCGCCCCGAGTTCCCAAGGACAACGCACGTTCGGCATCGGTCCGGCCGGGATTGGGGAGCTGGCGTTATTGAAATGACGGCGGCGTGGGATGGCGAAGCCGTCTTGCGGAAGCCGCATTCTCGCGTTTTGTTGGACGTCCGTCCCTCGTTGAGTGTGGAATCTGGCCACCAATCCATGTGTTCTTTCTGAAACGAGTCGCGATTCCGAAGAGGCCGTTGCTCCGATCGCCGCCTCAGTTCCGACTATGGACCTCGCGAATTCCTGTCTCCCTCGTGTCCCGGCAGCTCCCGGCGCTTGCGCTTTCTCCCGTCCGCATCTCGCCTCCTGGTCCCTGCAGGACAAGGTGTTTGCTACCAATGAGATACCTATCAGACAGGCGTGGGGCCTGGTTTGAGAAGTTCGTCTTTAGAATCAAGCTTTGAAGTCCGGCATTCAGGGCAAAAGCCATGCAGGAGCTTACTCGGTATCTTTGTGTCGGCAGGGTTTCATTGGTTAACACATGGGTTTTTGCGGGTTTAGATACCAAGGTCCAGGAACAGACAGCAAGCATTACCCCGGTATCTCGAGTCATGAACGCACATCGCGCGGCTCAGCTCGAGCAAGTATGGTAATGTCGGCGGTCAATGGTCTCAGCATGAGAAAGCACTCTGACAGGTCCTGTAGTAGTTGTTCATTATACACGCTGTAATAATTATTCATGAATTTGATCGGGCACAAAGGGCAGTCTGGGAAGCCGCTTGGTGTCTAGGTAATGACCGCAGCTAAGAATGTGAAATCAGAACTCCTCGTTGTTTTGGGTTCGAAGACCCATGTATCAGCCAAGTCCATGACGCTTTCTTCCTCTTTCCCGGCGGGCCATGGGACCTCAGTTGCCACTTAACACAGACACCCGTTGCTCTAAAACAAAAAGACCTGGTCTGTGGCCTTGGACATGGCGCCCGGTGCCTTGAACCCGAGGCCGACAAGAGTCTTGCTAACGCCCTGGACCATTGGCGGTGGTCCGCAAAGAAGCATCTTTGTGTCGTCTGCGGCGGCTGGGAGGTGCTTCTTGATCAAGTCCTCGTTGATGAACCCCGTGCTGCCGGCCCATCCCTCAGAGGGCCGTGCCAAGACGTAGTGAACGCTTAGCTTCTGCGGGCACTGCTTCACATAGGCGTCAAGCTCCTCGCGCAAGAGGATATCCGCCTCGGTGTTGTTGGCATACAGCAAACTCATCTTTGTGGTGTCCGACTCGTCCTCGCAAATGGCCCGAATCATCTGGAACATTGGGGTGATGCCCGTCCCGCCGGCAACCATGCCAATGTGCTTGGCGTACTCCAAAGGTTTGTACTGCATGGCGCCCTTGGGCCCTCGGATGTCGATTGTCTCGCCAACCTGCATGCCCTCGAGGTGCTTGGTCAGAAGGCCCTTGTCGTACACCTTGATCAACAACTCAATCCTGCCCAGGTCACTGTTGTTCGACACGGGTGTGTAGGACCGAGCAACGGGTTTTCCGTCAACGATGGCGCGAAGCGCGACATGCTGCCCAGTTGGCAAGCCAAGGATATCGTCAGGGCGCGGAAGCGCAAACACCAGCCGGTACACGTTGGGCGATACAAGCGTCTTGCGGACGAGCTTGAATGGCCGCCACGCTTGCGGGTCGACCACTTGGATCTTGGTGGCGCCCCTCGCCGCTGATGTTGTTGACGAGGTGGGAACCCTTAATACCGGTAGGTGCCGGGCTGGCTTGGAAATGCGGCGCGATGGGTAGTGCGTGAACTCTTCCTGAACGTCCAGCTTAGACCACGCCCACAGCCCCAGCGTGACCGACAGGGAGACTTGAGCCACCGTTGCTATGCCTGCACCGAGCCAAAAAATGCTTGACCGTCCCGCTCCCGAGGTGAGAGACGACGGGAGCATGTTTGCGGGCATGGAGAGAGTCTGCCGCAGCAACTTGAGAATCTGCTCTCCCTGAGCCCCCCCTTAACCCTGGTGACGCCCCATCCACACTGCAGCTCCAGCGCCAACAGCAATCACTGTGGTCAAGGCTGGGATGCCGCGGCGGCTCTTGTTTCTGGCTTTGGCGGGGACGATGACGGCAGCGGTCTGACCTACGTCGTGGAAGGTGGGACGGAAGACCTCAACCTCTTCGGCGTGGTCATCCTCGGCCAAGTCTCCGAGATAGAGTTTCTGCAGGTCTTCGTTTGCGTCGAGTGAATGGCCGATCTCCTCAAAGGCTTCTGTGGCGTCCGTGCCAGCAACTTCGTGGAGAACGGCTAGGCCACCAGGGTGGTCTTCGCAGTACTTGGTGACATCGTAAACTGATTTGGTCTGTCGTTAGTCTTTTGCGCCCTCGTTTGAGCTTATGCAATCCGTCTCACCTTTGTTGTGAATGACCAGCCAAATATCATCGGCTTTTGTGCTTCTCGACGTCTGCCAGCGCGAACGTCCGCGGCGATGCTGATTCTGTCATGGTCAAGGAAGGTCGTGGTGCCGGCTTAATCAGATGGTGTTGTTCCGATATTGGAGACAAACGGCTTTAATGGGCAGATCAGGCTGGCCGGTGAGCGAGTCAAAG